CTCTAGTCCGTGTTGATAATGGGGGAAATGTACCCCAAAATAGTCCTTCATTAGCCAGCAGCAGTCCCCTGTCGACTCATGTGACATTCCTCCAGGGTTACATAGAACCAGGGTGTGGGCTCCGAGCCATCTCCGAGACATCTCTAGTCCGTGTTGATAATGGGGGAAATGTACCCCAAAATAGTCCTTCATTAGCCAGCAGCAGTCCCCTGTCGACTCATGTGACATTCCTCCAGGGTTACATAGAACCAGGGTGTGGGCTCCGAGCCATCTCCGAGACATCTCTAGTCCGTGTTGATAATGGGGGAAATGTACCCCAAAATAGTCCTTCATTAGCCAGCAGCAGTCCCCCTGTCGACTCATGTGACATTCCTCCAGGGTTACATAGAACCAGGGTGTGGGCTCCGAGCCATCTCCGAGACATCTCTAGTCCGTGTTGATAATGGGGGAAATGTACCCCAAAATAGTCCTTCATTAGCCAGCAGCAGTCCCCTGTCGACTCATGTGACATTCCTCCAGGGTTACATAGAACCAGGGTGTGGGCTCCGAGCCATCTCCGAGACATCTCTAGTCCGTGTTGATAATGGGGGAAATGTACCCCAAAATAGTCCTTCATTAGCCAGCAGCAGTCCCCTGTCGACTCATGTGACATTCCTCCAGGGTTACATAGAACCAGGGTGTGGGCTCCGAGCCATCTCCGAGACATCTCTAGTCCGTGTTGATAATGGGGGAAATGTACCCCAAAATAGTCCTTCATTAGCCAGCAGCAGTCCCCTGTCGACTCATGTGACATTCCTCCAGGGTTACATAGAACCAGGGTGTGGGCTCCGAGCCATCTCCGAGACATCTCTAGTCCGTGTTGATAATGGGGGAAATGTACCCCAAAATAGTCCTTCATTAGCCAGCAGCAGTCCCCTGTCGACTCATGTGACATTCCTCCAGGGTTACATAGAACCAGGGTGTGGGCTCCAAGCCATCTCCGAGACATCTCTAGTCCGTGTTGATAATGGGGGAAATGTACCCCAAAATAGTCCTTCATTAGCCAGCAGCAGTCCCCTGTCGACTCATGTGACATTCCTCCAGGGTTACATAGAACCAGGGTGTGGGCTCCGAGCCATCTCCGAGACATCTCTAGTCCGTGTTGATAATGGGGGAAATGTACCCCAAAATAGTGCATCATGACTCAGCAATCATCACACTCAACTTTGGTGAGAACCGGGCAAAGGGGTCAAAATCCGTCAATGTGGGGGGTGAAACGGCTGTACGCGAGCCCTGGGGGGGGCACCCGGGACCGGGCAGTGCCCCCGGCAGAAGGAACCGGGTCAAACGGGCCAAAACAGGAAAAAAAATAAAAATAAAAAGAACCAGGCAAAAGGGGGGAAAATGGGAAAAAAGTGTCCGAAAATAGTGCCTCATGACCCCGCAGGAGTCCCCCGCGGACTCCCCTGACATTCCTCCATGGTCGAAATCATCCAACTCAACTTTGGTGAGAACCGGGAAAAGGGGTCAAAATGTAAAAATTGTACCCCAAAATAGTGCCTCATGACCCCGCAGGAGTCCCCCGCGGACTCCCCTGACATTCCTCCATGGTCGAAATCATCCAACTCAACTTTGGTGATAACCGGGCAAAGGGGTCAAAATGTAAAAATTATACCCCAAAATAGTGCCTCAAAATCGGGTAGAGTCACCTGCAAAGTGCCCTCGCATTCCTCCATGGCTCAAAATGTCGAACTTAAACTATTTGGAGAACCAGAGAAATGTAAAAAATACGCCCCAAAATAGTGTTCTCAAAATCGGGTAGAGTCACCTGCAAAGTGCCCTCGCATTCCTCCATGGCTCAAAATGTCGAACTTAAACTATTTGGAGAACCAGAGAAATGTAAAAAATACGCCCCAAAATAGTGTCTCATAATCGGGTAGAGTCACCTGCAAAGTGCCCTCGCATTCCTCCATGTCAAACTTTAAGTATTGAGAGAACCAGGCTGGGGGGTCCTTGCGCCACAAAATTAGGCCCACTCAAAGTGCTTGGTGAGCGGATACATTCTTCCATGATTTGCAACAGCCGTTATTTTTCTGAGTGCACCCAAAAACTGGGTTTCCGATTTCGTGCAGACGGTAGTTTGAAAAGTATGGATGAATCTTTTTGACAGAGAAGTGGAAATGAAGCCCAGGGACTTTTTCCCCTTCTCCCTCTTAGGTGCCTTACAAACAATGGACGTCCACTCTCGGGAGCGTCGGAGTGGTGCGGTCACCCTAAGTGACAGACCTAAAGTATCCGGGATTCAGGCATCTTCCCTGGCTTGTACATTTTTGGTGATGCGCCCTGGAGGTATCAGACTATTTTAAACAACTTTTCCCCGCTTTTCAAACACTTATTCCGAGGTTTTAGCCAGTCATTTTGCACGAAATCATTTAACATTGACGGTCTCCTGAAAAAGCACATATTCTGTGCATTTTCAGGAGAGCGTCTATGTTAAATGATTTCGTGCAAAATGACTGTCTAAAACTCTCTTCCAGACATTTAAAAATACTTTCCCCGACCATTTAAACATTATTTCTGGCTTGTAAAGTGCAGTTATGCGCCCTGGAGATATTGCACTATTTACAAAATGTAGCACTCTGTTTATTTCACACCTCCAGGAGAGACCAGGGGGAAATCACCTCTCTCTGCCCCCTCACAGAGCCCCAAGGACGGACTAATTACCTCCAGCATGTCCCCATAACAGTGGGACTCTGTTTCTTTCACAGCTCCAGCAGAGACCAGGGGAAATCACCTCTCTCTGCCCCCTCACAGAGCCCCAAGGACGGACTAATTACCTCCAGCATGGGCCCCTAACAGTGGGACTCTGCACCTCCAGCAGAGACCAGGGGGAAATCACCTCTTTTTGCCCGCTCACAGAGCACCGAAGGACGGACTAGAGACCTCCAGCACCAGTCCCTAACAGGGGGACTCTGTTTATTTCACACCTCCAGGGCGGAGACCGGGAAAATCACCTCTCTCTGCCCGCTCACAGAGCCCCAAGGACGGACTAATTACCTCCAGCATGGGCCCCTAACAGTGGGACTCTGCACCTCCAGCAGAGACCAGGGGGAAATCACCTCTCTCTGCCCCCTCACAGAGCCCCAAGGACGGACTAATTACCTCCAGCATGTCCCCATAACAGTGGGACTCTGTTTCTTTCACAGCTCCAGCAGAGACCAGGGGAAAATCACCTCTCTCTGCCCCCTCACAGAGCCCCAAGGACGGACTAATTACCTCCAGCATGTCCCCATAACAGTGGGACTCTGTTTCTTTCACAGCTCCAGCAGAGACCAGGGGGAAATCACCTCTCTCTGCCCGCTCACAGAGCCCCAAGGACGGACTAATTACCTCCAGCATGGGCCCCTAACAGTGGGACTCTGCACCTCCAGCAGAGACCAGGGGGAAATCACCTCTTTTTGCCCGCTCACAGAGCACCGAAGGACGGACTAGAGACCTCCAGCACCAGTCCCTAACAGGGGGACTCTGTTTATTTCACACCTCCAGGGCGGAGACCGGGAAAATCACCTCTCATTGCCCGCTCACAGAGCCCCGAAGGACGGACTAATTACCTCCAGCATGGGCCCCTAACAGTGGGACTCTGCACCTCCAGCAGAGACCAGGGGGAAATCACCTCTCTTTTGCCCGCTCACAGAGCCCCAAGGACGGACTAATTACCTCCAGCATGGGCCCCTAACAGTGGGACTCTGTTTCTTGCCAGGTGTGTCGTATGCACTGTAAATAGGCTCAGCAGTTAACACACCTTTATTATATATCCTCCTGAGAGCAACTGCATCCGTCTGCCATGAACCCTACAGAAACCTACGTGTTAGTTTTGGCCCATAGTGGCCTCCATTTGTGTCGTGTAAAATGGGGGAAATCAAAAGTTAGCAAATCCCCATGTCATGTTCATAAAAACATTTAGTTTTAGGTCAAATACTAATTACACTGCTCTGAACCTCACTACACTAACTCCTAAGATGTTCCCTTACTATAATTAATTAAAATATTGAACTCACAACACTGGTAATTACAAACTTAACCATTTCTCTTTCTATAAATAAATAGTGCTTGTGTTGATGGACGCCATTTTGAAATACAATGAAATTATCTTTTTCAAAGCCACATATTTGGGGTGGGACACAATAAATAAAGCTTCGCCAGTTTATAACCGATGAAACATGATGGTATCAGAATAATCACTTACATGTGATGTATAGGATGCTACACAGGTCACTGTAAAGATAAAGTGTCAGAGGAGAAATAAGCAAGATACAGGATCTGTTTAATCGCCATGTAGGTTCTCTTTTATTGCACACTCAAGACAATATCAATAATTACGGCATCACGCTGTCCTAGCTAGCTAGATGTTGTTAGCCAGCTTGGAGTCAGCCTGCTAACAGTGTTAGCCAGCATGGCTAGCTCGATCTACTGAGCAAATAAAAGTACATCTGAGACCAGTATTGTGCAGATTAAAACAGTGCAGTGCATGTAGTTTATTTTACATTCGTCGTCGTTCCGGCATGACTTTGCGCTGTGGGCGGTTCCCAGGTCGAACAACGGAAACTGCCTTCAGTAGAAGCTTCTGGATCACGTCCTCCGAGTAAATCGCCAGAAGCGCCGACACATCCTCATCACTCCACCGCTCCGATGATTTATTTAGTGTTGCCATAATAACTGCTTTCACAAAAGTAATCTCTTCGTTGGTGCGCTGCGCTGAGTTTGTAATGCGAGCAAATACAATGGCGGCTCCCAAAACTTTTTCAGAGTTTTACGGGGCGTGGTTTGCATTCCGCCCAGCCAATCAGACATATGAACCTTTTTCTCCCACGAAAGTCCCTGCTCTCTAGCAGGGACTGAAAAGCGGGTAAAAATGGTTCTGATGAACTCATTTAGTTCCTGAGGCTTTTTGGTGTGAACGCAAATATATCGTAGTTCTGATGAACTATTGTGGGAAAAGTACTCCGGTGTGAACGCACCACATGTCTCCGCAGCGCCTGCAGGAGCTCCACCTGCAGCACAACAGCATCGAGATGTTAGCGGAGCAGGCTCTGGTCGGGCTCAGCTCTCTGGCTCTGCTGGACCTGAGCAGGAATAACCTCCACACCATCGGCCCTGCCACCCTCAGACCTCTGGTCAGCCTGCAGGTGCTGCGCATCACAGGTGAGCACAACACACAGGAACAGCAAATTCATGTGTTTTTCTTTGACATCATTGGCATGATATCTGGACAGCATTTTATTGCTTTATTTTATTTAGACTAGCTCAGCCTTTAGTCTTTTTTATATATATATATATATATATATATATATATATATATATATATATATATATATATATATATATATATAAATATATATATATATATATATATATATATATATATATATATATATATATATACTAATTTGGTTGACATTGTTTTTGATTGAACACCAACCGGAAGATGTTTGCTCTCACACTTTACCGCTCAATCTGCCAGGCCGTAGAGCAAGGAGGGCAATCCACGTACGGAGATAAAAGTTCAACACTCACCGGCAGCGACATTCAGAGTCCGCTTGAGTGATGCTCAAATAAGTGGGCTTTTAGGTCTTCTTATGTTAGAGTTCTTAAGACAGGGCCAAAACCAAGCTTCTCCTCCAATTTCTACTGTGATGTCACCGGTGCTTTTCTGAAAATGGAAAAGTTGAGTTGCTCTGAGCACCAGAACACTCAGAAAAAAGGACGCTGGGTGAAGTGCTTTTTCTCGAGGCAACTGCATACGATGGCATGCAATCTCTCCTCATTGAAAACAAATGCAAAAACACGCTGGTGCTCATGAAAAAGGCTCTATGTGCAAACAGCTCCTTATGCAGTCAATGCATTTCTCTATGTCAGTGCAGATTTCCGAAGTTCAAATACATACACGCTTGTTCACTGAACATTAACTCTCGTCTTTCAGTTCTCTGATATGTCTCCCACCCCCTCCAGAGACTAGCAGCTGTCCTGCCCCCCCCCCCTGACCCCCTGTCCTCTGCTCCGCTGTAGACAACCCGTGGCGCTGTGACTGCGCTCTGCACTGGCTGAGGAGCTGGATCGATGAGGAGGGTCAGCGGCTGCTCAGCTCTGCAGAGCGGCGCCTGGTGTGCACCGAGCCCCCCCGCCTCTCCCACCTCAGCCTGGTGGAGGTCCCCCTCAACAGCCTGGTGTGTATCCCCCCTCTGGTGCAGCTGGAGCCCAGGAGGCTAGCTGTGCGCCTGGGAGAGAGCCTCAGGGTGTCCTGCCACGCCTCGGGGTATCCTCGGCCTCAGGTAGGGAGACGTTGAGGAGACTGTGTAACCCCTTACTCGTAACTCACTGTCAGACAGACATAAGAGCAGAAAGTACATTTCCTCAAGTATTGTACTTAAGTGCACATTTGAGGAACTTGAGTATTTATTTTCCCTGCTTATTTATACTTTTACTCAACGACAATTAAAAGAAGACATTTTGTACTCTTTACTTAACTACATTTATCATATAGCATAAAACACACCAAGTTTATAAAATATTGTTTTGTTATAAATTAAATTAGCCAACATTTAATACCATAACAACAAGAGTTGGCATTTATAAACATTTCACTAATTGTCTATTTTCCTTTGAATAACTGAGTTTTCTGGATGTTCTTTCTGGCTTACATGTATGTTTAGATTTTTCTGCATTAAGTACTTTCACACTTTAAAGAGGCCCTATTAGGCCTCTGGGGTATTCCCTTCCCTGTAGTGTGTTACATGGGTTTGTGTGCATGTAAATGGTCTACAAAGGCTAAAATCCCAAAGTTTTTTTCTTCCAATGCATAAACTTCTTTTTACATTGTGGTATTAGGTATTTCACTTAAAGGGCACTTTAAAATGCACTTTTGTACGTCTTTTATACATGAATATGTGTCCCCGGTGTTCCAGGGAACTCACCAAGTGTCAGAAAACACAACCCTCTCTATTTTCCTCCATACCCAAATCTCTAAAAAGGGGCTGCAACGGATCTGATCAAAACTGATCCAGATTTGAACACTTTCCTGACGTCAGGACAGTAGCGCTACGGCTATTGGGCCAACTCCACCAATCAGGAGGAGACAGCCACGGCCATTGCCGTTCGAAAGCGCTGGAGACGCTGTAGTACATATGCCAGGCCTGTAGATGGTGCTGTTCTCACAGAATCTGCCCTTGCAAAAACAGAGCTAAAAAATGTCAAATTGAGCAAAATGAGGCATGGCTAAAATGCATGATCTGTTTGGTATTTTGAAAAAAAAAAAGTATAAATATGCCTTATATAGGTATGGTCCTACACTATATTATTCAAATATAGCATGATTGGTCCACTTTAAGTAAAGGTCCTACATGCTTTAACTGTTAACTGAGTCTGATTATGTATAAAATGATAATTAATCACTGCATGACTTTCAGGTGACATGGAGGAAGGCGTCCCAGGGTAAGGTGGTGCTCTCCCCCAGAGGCCTGGTCCAGGAGCTGGGAGCAGGAGGAGGTGGAGTGGGTGGAGCCGAGGAGCCGTCAGAGGAAGGCAGAGTCAGTCTGCAGAAGACTGCCGGCGAGCGCTTCGACCCCGACACCGGCAGCGGCATGCTGTTCCTCAGCAATGTGACAGTGGCCCACGCAGGTTTTTACGAATGTGAAGCCTGGAACGCAGGGGGCGTGGCCAGGGTGACCTTCCAGCTGGCCATCAACTCATCTACTTCCTCTTCCTCGTCTACCTCCTCCATCTGGGCCTCGTGGTCCCAGGTGTCCTCGCCGTACTCCCCGTCCTGGCCCCGGCTGAGGAGCCACGGCTCGGCGGCGGGCTCAGATGTGAGCCGGGAGCCGCTGTACGCTCTGGGCAGCATGGCCTTCAGTGCTCTGGGGGCTGCCACGCAGACGGCCATCGCTGCGGGCATCTCCCTGCTGGCTCTGACCGCCCTGCTGCTGCTCGCCATGATCTACAGCCGCCACCACCAACCAGAGAAGGAGGCTGAGGCAGCTGAGAAGGTGGGTGTGTCTTTACTGTGATGGAAAGGGATAAACTCCCTCCATAGGGAGCTTTGGGATTTTTACTCTGTAACACTTGTGCTTCTATTGGCTAGCGCTCCAACACATTGTACGCGATAGGCTAAGGGGCGGAACATCTTTTAGCGATTGACCAAGCACAGCAGAGCCAGCCAGCTAACCAATCAGAGCAGACTGGGCTCTGGTTTCAGACAGAGGGTGAAAAGAGGTGCTGCAGCACAGGCAGTATGAGAAACATAAAGACCTTTTTGGCCATTAAAGCATGGAGACATGTCGCAGTTGAGGAACAGAAAACAAATATGAACCTGAAAATCCTCAGATGTTCTACATTTTGCTGTTCCTGTGATTTTGACCCTGCAGGAGGAGAGCATCCTGTATGTGAACGACTACTCCGACGGTCCCACCACCTTCGCCCAGCTGGAGGAGTACCGAGACGAGCGCGGCCACGAGATGTACGTCCTGAACCGGGCCAAGCCTGTGCTGCCTCCTGCCCCCCCCACAGCTGTCTCCACCACCAACCTGGGCTGCCCCGCCCCATCCGACACCTCCAGCCACACCCTGTCCTCGGGGCAGGGCCAGACAATGAGTCCCACTCTGGCCCCCAACAAGAAGCTGCAGCAGCAGCAGCAGGAGGGCGACATACGAACCATGAGGAGGATGGCGGGGGAGGGAGGGGAAGCCGAGCCTGTGATCACATCAGAGAATGAGGGGATGTTTCTAAATCACACAGGCCTGTTCATGGACTCTCAGATCGCCTATGAGATCCACTGCTGAAGGGGGGGGGGGGGGGGGGGGGGGGGGGGGGGGAATCCAGGGCAACACAGAGGCTCTACAGCAAAGCCTGTCACATCTTATCTTACAATGTCAGGGATCTACCAGAAACTGACACAAAACACATCCCTGTGGAAGGATTCACTTCCTATAATGGACTCGTGTTGGAGAAGGTTGAAATACCTAGCACAGCTCTCAATCTGGTTAACTAAATCAAAAGCACTTTTCAAGGGACATACTGTGACCTTGCACGCCAAAACAACAGTAGTGAGTAGGCCGGTGCGTAGGTTGCCGTACAAATACTCTACACTCAAAGACAAAGGTACCTGGACTCAGGTATGAACCAAACTGCACACTTGTACATGACATTTATCAGAAAACTTGAACCTTTATTGTGCAAGAGTTAAATCTGTCCTCTGAAGATGTTGGCAGGGTGAGTAAGACCAGAGGGTACAACGTTAACAAGAGGGGGAAGTCATGGAATCTTCCATTTCATGAGCATGTGTTTTATAATTATTGTTATTGTCTGGACATGTTGGAGTCAGACTGTGCACCTGTCGAGCGTCTGAAGGCAGTACAATGCGTCAGCTGAACTTTGTAACTATGTATTTAAAAGTGTGGGAACATGTCCAATCATTACAGAGAAACTATCTTAAAGAGTGCTAATCTCCCAATAATTAAAAAAAGACTCAAAGTTGGCATGACTTTATAGTACGGTGGCTCCCTGCAAATGAAGAACACATGGGAATACACAACCAAATACAAGGATACCAAATGTTTTTGCCAATGTAAATTGTGGAAAGAAGCTTCCCTTTAGTCTGGTGGTACAGCAGCGGGGGGTCCTTTTTCGTCCCACAGCGGGGGACGTACAATGTTACAGCAAAAGGAACATTTTAAATAGAAAGGCAAGCACATGTTAAAGAAGCCCTAAAATGCTTTTTGGGTTTCTCCCTTTCCTTTAGTGTGTGATAAACGTGCCCCCCCCCCTGCCTGAAAGGCCCCATTGGAATCCTGTGTTTACTTCCATATAATAATGACATCACTATGTAACACTTGTGCTTCTATTGGCTAGCACTCCAACAAATTATACCTAATAGACTAAGGGGCGGGACATCTCTTAGCTGTTGACCAATCAAAAAAGAGCCGGCCAGCTAACCAATCAGAGCAGACTGGGCTCTGGTTTCAGACAGAGGGTGAAAAGACCTTTTGGAACATTGAAGCATGGAAACAAGTCACAGTAGAGGCACTAAATACTAATGTGAACCTGAAAATGAGCAGAAAAGGGCCTCTTTAAACAAATGAAATAAGTACACATCCATGGAACAGTTATAAGCAGCAGCATTCCAAAAAGTGTGTGAAAAAAGTGAAGGAACATATAAAGTAGCAGCAGGTGATAATATTCATAGTGTGTATGAATACAAAAGTGTATATTGCACATAAACTAGTACACTACAATTGAAGAGATGACTGTTCTGAGTGTAGTGGAGTTGCAGCCAGTAAACTAAATCCATTGTAAAACAGTAAATATTTCACAGTAGTGTTTTTCCACATCAGTGTGCTATAGTCCGTTCCGGTGTGGTGGTCCACCAGGGGTATCTCTCTGTGAGACCTCGTGGGTGCAGCCGTCCGTCACTTAAGGAGTTGCACAGTGCCGACATGGGCATGCTGTTCAACAGTGATGACAGCTTGGCCATCATTCTCCTGTCTCCCCGCACTCCAAAATACCTCAGTGTCCTCAGCAGATAGAGTCTGCTCGGTCCTTCCTAGAGCAGTACAGTAATCCGGCCAGTCCAGTTTATTGTCCTGATTATTAACCTTTGGGCTCTTTGCAGGCACCTGTTCTTCCAAATATCACTGATGCTCTGTATGTGGGTACCAACAATGTTCTGGGCAGGTTTAATCTCCCGCTGCAGAGCTCTCCTGTCCTGCGCACCAACCATGCCCGTTTGTAACGTTTCCAGTCAGATGCTTTCTATTTATCCTCTGTAAAAGTTGACAATAACTTTTTACTGATTAAGCTTCCTTCCGTTAATGAGCTTTTTTTTTTACAAGATATGTGAAAACCATGTCAGGTTGTTTCTGATTCTTATTTCCAGGACCATCTCTCCCTTTTTTATGAAATCAAAAATAAGCATCTTTGTTTTGCTGATGTTGAGCCAGTCAGTGCAAGATTGTAGATGTTCCTTCTTGATAAAGTCTCATTGTGGTCATCAAATCCAGATCTTCAGCATCCTCCTCATCCTATCTCGTCAAATCCAGATCTTCAGCATCCTCCTCATCCTATCTCGTCAAATCCAGATCTTCAGCATCCTCCTCATCCTATCTCGTCAAATCCAGATCTTCAGCATCCTCCTCATCCTATCTCGTCAAATCCAGATCTTCCCCATGCTCTTGATCCCATCTCTCCATGAAATCCAGATCTTCAGCATCATCTTCATCATATCTCGTCAAATCCAGATCTTCAGCTTCCTACAGTATCTCGTCAAATCCAGATGTTCAGTATCTTCTACATCCTATGTCGTCAAATCCAGATCTTCATCCCATTTACATCATCATCAGTGTTCAAACTCCAGGGCAGGTTTCATTTTCTACATACAGTTGCACCTCCCCCTTAAGATATATATATATATATTTCAATGGTGTTGAAACGCCAAATACAATTCAAAAGAAAACATTGTTTTCAACAGAACAAATGAAGTGCATTCCTGTAGCAATTTCCTGCTTTTTTAGGAGGAGGAGGAATGTAAACCAAATAAAACATAAGTGTGGATGTATGCGCTCACCTTGTTGCAGCGTTTGAGAATTCGAACTTCTATTTAAAAACTGTACTCAGTCGTTTTTGTCAAACTGGTGAAGATGTTATTTTTAAGTTTGCAGTGCAATGATAACAATAACTGGGATTTAAGAGCGTCAGTGACATCATCTGTCTTCTAGGATGAATAAACTATTAGATATTATATATTTTCCCCAAAACTGTGTGAGGTTTATAAAAGAGAAATGAATCTCATTGACAGGATGAAGATTATGATGATCTGATTGAGTTTACTTAATTTAATATTTTTTACTGAACAGGACCCAACAACAAAACTGATCAGACCAGGGATACAGTGGATACATATATATTCACATGTAAACATATCCACACATTGTATTAAATAACTAACTAAAATTGAACTATGTGCATGTACAATATTATAACAGAAATCAATATCATCTCCTTCCTATTTTTATGCCATATTCAGGCCATGACAAAAGTGTCAGATTAGAGTCAGTCAATTTTTTTTAATGTGTGAAATGTTCCCAATAATAAAACCAATTGTAAAAAGAATATTAAATCTTTGTCCATCTCATTGTCTTTAAAGCTAAGAGAGATGTAGTTTTCCCTTGGATGGATCCTTGGTCTTCTCCTCCCTGTATAATCTACTTTATCCTTTCAGAATAATATAATAAATGTACATACATGTATAATATACATACAATCCACATATTATTTAATGTCCAGTCTAAATCACAAACATTCTTTTAAAGAATAATGTATTGTCTCATGCAGCTAAAGTTGATCCATTCCTTGCATAATGTCTTAACAATTGGCAAATGATCAGAAACCACTGCAAATCTTCTGGTGTTTACCTGTTCCCGAGCAGCCATGCAGGTAAACACAGTAGTGAGTACATCAGGCTCCACCTTCATCTTTTGCCCCATGTCCACTGCATTGTTACCTTGTTACCAAGGGTTACCTTGACTGAATACACTGTGATTTGTCCATTGGATTTGGAAATATTGAAGAAAATAAGATCTGTTGCAAAAACAAGTTAATGACACTATACGTTTTGTTTATCAGGATCATCTTTACATATTAACATGGCTTTTATAATAACTGAAGCGTTAATAAGTAAATACGGTTATGCTATAAACTACATGACGATCACATGACTTCACCTCAACGACAAACTTGTGTCAACTAGGAAGTCATCATTCTCAGTATAGATGAATGTTTCATCATCACTCCAATGGTAGTGGGCCAAAACAAAATTCCATTAGCAGAAACACGCTGCAGTTTAAAGAATGACAGAAATGTGCCGAAACACATGAAAAGGAAGAAACATCTTCACCAACTTGACAACACATGTGAAGCATTTAGAAAAACATTAACCAACTAATGAAACATACGCAGCATTCACTAAAAGCATTGCATTAACGAAATGCTGCAAATAAAATACACTGCAAGAAGCTCAAAACACAACAGGGGACACTAAAAAGTGACGCACACAGCTGGGACCGGAGCACCTGTTGACGTCCGGGGATTATAACGTTGGCCAACTGTCACTGATGTTGGAAATGTACCTAAAATGTAAGTTTTATTGGTTTATTTTAACAACGTGATCGCATGATTCCTTCAGATATTATTGCAGATCTTCTCTTAGCTAACCTAGTCTTGCTAACACAACAATTACAATTATAAAAAACAGGCTAACTCTGCCAACAGTGACGGTTTGCCAACTTTATAATCCCCAAACTTCAACAAGTGCTCCAATCCCAGCTGTGTGCATCACTTTTTAGTGTCCCCGTTCCCATTGTGTTTTGAGCTTCTTGCAGCATTTTGTTTATGCAGCGCTTTTAGTAAATGCTTTGCATGTTTTGAAGTTGTTGATGTTTTCTAAAAGCTGCGCATGTGTTGTCAAGTTGGTAAAGATGTTCCTTCATATGTGTTTTGGCACATTTGTGTTTTTATATTTGCATCGTTTTTGAAATGGCAGTGTTTTTGGCCGTTGTAGTGTGTTTGCACCTGTCGGCCACCGTACAATGGCCATCTCATTGCATTAACTTATATATTAAAATGGTCATTTCAGTATGTGTTACTGTTGTATTACTCCTCGTAAAGGCTGCAACATGCTTCTCCAGGCTGCATGTATCTCAATCAATCAATCAATGTTTATTTATATAGCCCAATATCACAAATGTCTCAGTGGACTTGTACAGAATATCAGTATGACAATACGACA